TCTGCCACTGAGCCACAGCCCCCTCCCACGCGGAAAGCCCCCCCCCCGTGCACAGGGTTGAGTGAGCGGAGACAGGAAAGGAGGAGGGTGACCGCAGGGGTGCCCACAGAGAGACCTGTGATGGTGCAGAGAAGAGAGAGGGAAAGGGGGGGGAGTGACGTGCGTTTCTGTGCTGAACGAAGTGACGGCATCTTCCCGAGTGCTTAAAAAATTATAAAAATGGCTCTTGGAGGGATGTAGTTTGTGCACACTGTGCTGATCCCAAGGGGGAGGCCCTCCATAGCAGTCCTCACGGCACACGGAGCAGTTCCTTTGCGATGATCCGGGTGTCTTGAGTGTGGGGGCAGAGCGCTTTGGGGCACGCGTCCCACGGATCGTGCTTGCGAGTGGCTTTGCCCTGCAGTGAGCACTTTATGCCTCCGTTGGCTTTTTGGTTTTGTGTCGGGAGCCGGGATGACCTCTAAAGGATTAAGGACTCTTCCCTTTCTGTCCTGACGAGAGTAATCTTTTAAGAAGCTGCTCTGGCAACCCGCTGGGGGAAGCCGTTCCTGCTGCGTGTTATCCTGAAATATCCATGCAGCTGAGCCTGTTTGCAGAGCTACTAGCCAAGGGGGAGAGAACGGGGCCAGCGCGCTGAATGTCTGGGGGGCATTCCCACGTGGGGGAAGCCGTGCGGTGCCTTCTCTGAATTTTTTGCCTGCTTCCTTTTAGACGCTTATCGAGCAGATCGAGCAGCGGTCGGAGAAGATGCCAGAGTGAGTCTGCGGGGACTGTTCACTGCCAGGGGTGGTCCCTAAGCCCAAAGGCAGGCTTGCGGGAGCAGTCTAGCCCAGCCCGGCTGCCCAGGGAGAGCAAGGAGGCTTTTCTGCTGATGTCTCCCCGCCCCACCCCGTCTCTGCCTTTGGTGTTGTGTTTGAACATGGAGCTGCGGTGGCTCAAGTGGTTAAGACGCTGAACTGCAGGCTGTGGAAGGTCGGTAGTTCGGCAGTTTGAGACCCGAGTGCCGCATGACGGAGTGAGCTCCCGTCTCTGGTTCCAGCTCCTGCCAACCTAGCAGTTCGAAAGCAAGAAATTGCAAGTAGATAAATAGGGACCACTTCGGTGGGGAAGGTAGCAGCGTTCCGTGCGCCTCGGCGTCTAGTCATGCCGGCCACATGACCACGGAAACGTCTTCGGACAGCACTGGCTCTTTGGCTTTGAAATGGAGTTGAGCACCGCAACCCTAGAGTCGGACTCGACTGGTTTTTGAGCAAGGGAACCTTTACCTTTACTTTTTTGGAGGCAGCCCAGTTAAGCTCAGAGGTCCGATTCCGTGTGGTCACTGAGCGTTGTGTGAAGTACTTCTTTTTCCCTGACCTGGATTGACTGCCGGTCAGTTTTCCTGGATGACCCCAAGTTCTTGTATTACGGGGGGGGGAGAAGAAGAAGGCCCCCCCCCTTCCTCCTCACCATGTCCAGTTTTGCAAAGTTCTCACAGCCGTCATCGTCCTGAATTAGAAAGCACCAAGTGCTTTGGCCTTTCCGCACAGAAACGTTGAGCTGGAAGGGGCCTCAAGGAGCATCTAGTCCAACCCCCTGCAGGAAATTCACAACTCCCCCCCCCCCCGGAAACCCCGCCCCTGTGGCCCGGGTGGCCAGAGGAACGCAAGGAAGCCTCTAGGTTCCTTGGGCCAGTCTGGCCTGGAGGAAAACCCCATCTTGACGCCAGAGTTGCGATTGTCGGCAGTACCCTGGGCATGTAACGGATGACCAGGAGAATTGAGCACTGGCTCATCCCTCCCTGCCCTCCCCTCTCGTGATCTGCCCAAGTTCACAGGATCTGCATGGCTGTCCGATGGCCCTCTAGCCTCTGCTTGAAAACCTCCCGAGAAGGAGAGCCCACCATCTCCTCCCGAGGAAGCCTGTTCCACGGAGGATGGTCAGTAAAGTCCTTCCTAGGGAGTTCTTCTTAGGAGAAGGGCTCCGCCCCCTTGCCTGTTTCCGCGCCTTTTCCAGCTCGAAGGTTTTCTCTTTGATGCGGGGTGCCTGGTAAGATAGCACAGCGTTTCAAATGTCGCTGGGCTATGAAATGATAAAAAGTCGTTCCGATGTGGATTCCTTTCATTTCCCGCTCCTTTCCTGCCGAGTCGCTTCCTAAGCAAGCGATTTGCAAGGATGGTGCTTTGTGAAAATATGAGGCCAGTGCAGAAATAATTGGCCGCTGTTCGCGACAAGGAGGGAGGGAGGGAGCGCTCGAGCCAAAGGCAGGACCGGCCGCCTCTAGAAGCGGGGGTGTCCAGAAAGTCCAGCTGGTCTTACTCCTCCTCCGTAACAAGCTGGTGCTAGGAAGGGCCATCGAGGTGCAGCCGATTCAGGTCGACGGCGTGTGGGTTTCCCAGGGCGAGAGATGCTCAGAGGTGGTTGGCCTGCCTCTGCATAGCTGCCCTGGACCTGTTTTTATTGCCCTGCAATAAAAAAGGCCAACGCTATGCTGGGGATTATTAGGAAGGGTATTGAAAACAGATCAGCCAATATCATAATGCCCCTCTATAAATCAATGGTGCGACCTCATTTGGAATACTGTGTGCAATTCTGGTCACCACACCTTAAAAAGGATATTATAGCTTTGGAAAAAGTGCAGGAAAGGGCAACTCGAATGATAAAAGGGTTGGAACACTTTCCCTATGAGGAAAGGTTAAGGCGCTTGGGGCTCTTTAGCTTGGAGAAACGACGGCTGAGGCGTGACATGATCGAGGTTTATAAGATTATGCATGGGAAAGAGCAGGTAGAGAAAGAGGTACTTTTCTCCCTTTCTCACAATACAAGAACTCCTTGTGGGCACTCCATGAAATTGCTGAGCGGTCGGGTTAGAACGGATTAGAACGGATAAAAGGAAGTACTTCTTCACCCAAAGAGTGATGAACACATGGAATTCATTGCCACAGGAGGTGGTGGTGGCGGCTACAAGCATGGATGGCTTCAAAAGGGAATTAGATAGGCATATGGAGCAGAGGTCCATCAGTGGCTATTAGCCACAAGGTATAGATAGGGGCTCTGGGGCAAGTGATGCTCTGTCTTCTTGGTGCTTTGGGAGGGGGGGTCAACAGTGGGAGGGCTTCTAATGTCCTGGCCCCACTGCTGGACCTCCTGAGGGCACCTGGTATTTCTGGCCACTGTGTGACACAGAGTGTTGGACTGGATGTAGCCTTTGGCCTGATCCAACATTGGCGTCTCTTATGTTCTTATGACCCTTCCCTGATGGTCTTCCGTTCAACTGCTCACCAGGGCTGGCCCTGCTTAGCTTCCAAGGCCTGGCGAGATTGGGTTAGCCTGCCAAGTATGCAGGCCCGTAGCCAGGATTTTTTTTAAGTCACGGGGCATTTAAATGTCTTCGGAGGCACTGGCTAATCCAGTTAAGCCAGGGGAGAAGGCCGTGATGCCCTGGGCTGGATGAGAAGTCGGGGGGCCTGGCCAGCAAGTCAGGGGGCCTAGCCCCGAGATGCCCCCCGCTGTAGCTACGGGCCTGCCGGGGATGCCGCCATTCCACCTGTTGTGGAGCCGTTCAGCGAAGCGGATCTGTTCCCTGCCTCTGGCTGTCCTAGAGAGAAAGGAGGGCGGTGGTCACGTGTGGGTCAATTCAAAACGAGTCCCGCGTTCCAGCTTGTGGTTCGAGACAGCTCGTGGGGCCAGGAGGGCTGCCCCTGAGATGGCAGACTTGTGGGGCATCTTGATTGACCGCTCCCTCGTAGAGATCCTTCCTTCCCCCCCCGGTAGGTCGGAAGCTGGATGTGAGAAAGCTGAGCTTGACCCTGGCTCCCGGAAAGGCCCGTTCCCTCCCGCCAGGCTGCCACCTCCGCGAGCCGAGGTTTGAGTGTCAGTAGGGAGTGGGCCCTCCAATGGTATAGTTCAGCGGTTCATTCCTCGTTCGTCTCTCCACCCAGGTACCAGCAGCTGCTGAGTGAAATACATCACTGTTACCTTGAGCAGAGGGAGCACTTGCTGGGGCCCAGTATCACGAGTACTGTGACTGAATTGACTAATCGGAACAACAGAGATCATTGTGCTCTGGTAAGCGCCTTGGTATGTTTTCTTCAATTCACCTTTCTTATGGAGCGAAGCCGCTGACCAGCAGTGTTCCCTCTAAACAACCTTGGGCAAGCCATAGTTTTGGTCGGAGCTGTTCTTGAAAAAGAGCCGTTCCTGTCAAGAGCTCTCTCAGCCCCACCTACCTCACAGTAGGGTGTCTGTTGTGGGGAGGGGAAGGGAGAGGAATTTGTCAGCCGCTCTGAGACTCCAAGTGAAGGGCGGGGTATAAATCCAATCTCTTCTTCTTCTTCTAAACTGTGGAGTCATGTGAGCAAAAATTCTACTTTGTGAGCTACTGGCATTAAAGTTGGGAGCGAGCGATTTGACTACTGCATTAAATTGGTTTGCTCTGTAGCCCTCCTTCCTGAGCTAAAGCAAAAATGTGTAAGCCCGGAGGCTAAAAAACTGTGAGCTAGCTCACACTAACTCAGCTTAGAGGGAACAGTGTTGACCAGCAGATTGGTGGCTTCGACTCCTGTCTTTGCAAGTGGCTTTGCTCTGGTGGAAGGGAGTCGTTGGCTCCAACCAGTGTTCCCTCTAAGCTGAGTGAGTGTGAGCTAGCTCACAGGGTTTTTAACCTCCGGCTCAGACATTTTTGTCTCAGCCCAGGAAGGAGGGCTCCAGAGCAAACTAATTTATGCAGCAGCCAAATGGCTGGCTGGCAACTTTAATGCCAGGAGCTCACCGAGTAGAATTTTTGCTCACAGGTCCCCACAGCTTAGAGGGAACATTGGCTCTGACCCAGAGGTTTGCATTTCTAACAGTTGATAAAAAGAGTTACATGCACCCCAGTCCCAAAACCGTGTTGCCCATAGGGCCTTTTGGTTTTCTGTGGAAGACTGCCTGGGGGTGGTTGGATCTTCTCTTGGCTGTTCCAAAAAGCACCAAAGGCGAAAGATCTTTAAATGCATGCAGGCGGCTGTCTGCCCTCTGCAAATCCCCTGTTTGACTGATTTCAGGTTCGAAGCGGCTGTGCCTTCATGGTCCACGTGTGCCAGGACGAACATCAGCTTTACAACGAGTTCTTCACAAAGCCGACGCCAAAGCTGAAGTAGGTAACATGGAGGACCTTGTATAAAGGTATAAAGGGCGGGGTATAAATCCAATCTCTTCTCTTCTTCACTTTGCTAGTTAGTAATATGCAAGCTAGTTGATCGTTTGGCCTTCAACAGAGTGATAGCCATAGATACGTGGATTGTGTAGGGATGCCAGCTTTGGGTTGGGAAACACCTGGAGATTTTGGGGGTGGAGCCTGCAGAGGGCGGGGTTTGGGGAGGGGAGGGACTTCAGTGGGGTATAACGCCATGAACTCCATCCTCCAAAGCAGCCGTTTTCGCCGGAGGAACGGATCTCTGTGGCCTGGAAATCAGTTGTAATAGCAGGAGATCCCCAGCCACCACATGGAGGTTAGATAAACACAGAAAACACCGTGTTGAAATAATAAACACAATATTCGCATGCACTTATAGCTAAATATATTTGCCTTTTTATACACAGCATCAACTCTAGCGTATTGTAAACACTCTCAAACGTCAACATCACATTTCAAACACTTTCAGACTAAGTTATATAACACGAAGAGTCCAACTGTCTTCTTCCTGATGGAGGACAAATACCAGTGTACAGTTATTTAGGAGCTGCGGTGGCTCAAGTGGTTAAGACGCTGAACTGCAGGCTGTGGAAGGTTGGTAGTTCAGCAGTTCGAGACCCGAGTGTGCCGCATGACAGAGTGAGCTCCCGTCTCTAGTTCCAGCTCCTGCCAACCTAGCCGTTCGAAAGCAAGCAATTGCAAGTAGATAAATAGGCACCACTTCTAACAGAAGGTCAGTAGTTCAGCAGTTCGAGACCCCAGTGTGCCGCATGACGGAGTGAGCTCCCGTCTCTAGTTCCAGCTCCTGCCAGCCTAGCAGTTCGAAAGCAAGAAATGGCAAGTAGATAAATAGGTACCACTTCGGTGGGAAGGGAACAGCGTTCCGTGCGCCTTGGTGTTTAGTCATGCCAGCCACATGACCACGGAAATGTCTTCGGACAGCGCTGGCTCTTCGGCTTTGAAACGGAGATGAGCACCGCAACCCTAGAGTCGAACTTGACTGGCTTTCGAGCAAGGGAGACCTTTACCTTTACCTTACAGTTATTTGCACCGAACAATGCAGCAACCTATTGTACATTCCTAAGTGATGATCCATCAGGTAGAGCTAGCAGGCAGCTTGTATTTCTCACTGTGATGATTCAGCTTAGCCAGCAAGCCTAGTAGACGTATTTTCCCATGAGGTGATTCAGCTAGCAAGCAGGCCTAGCAACACGCCTCCCGGGCTTAACCTGCGTGTTTCGAACAAATCTTCTTCAGGCATGAATTTTCCTGGAACCACAGCTCTTGAATTGACCCCTGCATAAGTCAAGCAATGTAAACATGGCTGTTCTGGCTCTCCAGCCACCTGGAAGTTGGCAACCCTCGTTATTGTGGAATGCTGCCGTTCTTTGAAGCAGGAAGCAGGCTCTCAATATGAGTGGTGTTCCCCGCGTGGTCCAGGCGGCATGCGATGGTGGACTGGGGCGTGGTCTGTTGTCACTCCAGCAGCCTTTTCAGACCAAATAATTGTTGACGGGGGAACTCTTTTCTCTCCCCCCCTGTCTTGCAGTGGACTTTTAGAGAAGTTGTGTCTGTCCCTGTACGATGTCCTCAGGCCGTTGATAATCCACGTAATCCACTTAGAAACGCTGTCTGAGCTCTGTGGGATTCTGAAGAACGAAATGCTTGAAGATCACGTGCAAAACAATGGTAAATATAAAGACAGGATCCAAATAAGAACACCTCCTTTAAAATGGGCTAGAGTGGAATGTGCTCCAGTTACATCTGCACGCTCCTTAACTTGCATATTTTGTTTTAAACCTCCCTTTTAAAAATTGAAATTAATAAGGATTTTTTTAAGCACTTTATTATCTCACACATGCCCAGTTCTGGTAAGCAGGTATTATTTTTTTGCTTGACCAAAGACATAAAGGATAGAGCTGAAATCTAGCCTATTCACACACTTTTTGGAAGTGAACTTCACCCCGTGGCTCAGCGAAACATGAGAAGACGTAAGGCGTTGTTGGATAGAACCGCTTCACTCATATCGTGCTTTGTCTTTCTCGTAATGCTGACTTCACACACGCTAGGAGGTTTTTGCAGAAGAATCAGCCAAGACAGTTGTAATTTTGTAATAATGGTTTTAATGGTTTTAACTGTTTTTATGTGTTGGCGTATGCCTATTTGTGAGCCGCCCTGAGCCCGCATTGCGGGGAAGGAGGGCTATAAATTGAATTTATAAATAAATAAATAATTCAAAACTGTAGTTAAGGCTAAATGTGGTTCATAACCCAAGTAATAATAGCTACCAGAGTGAACCTCATTCAGACAGGCATGCTAGTCATAGTTTAATTCAGCTAGGGGTCCTCAGCCTTTTTGAGCCTGTGGCTACCTTAGGAATTCTGACAACAGGGTGGTGTGCATGAGCACAAAATGGCCATCACAGGAGGCGGAGCCAACCACAAAATGGCTGCCACAGGAGGCAGATTCCCCCACACAGAGCAAGCTGAAGTACAGGGGATAGGAGGCATGAGAGAAAATAAAATTGATATTGTGGGGGCAGGTACCCCAAGAACAATGTTGGTCTGCACAGCCAATCAGAAGCCCTGCAAACCAGGAACCCCACCTAGTTCCGCCCACTTGGTGGTGGTAGCCGACAGGAAGCACACTGCTTCAGATACATTTTGGAGAAGAACAAAGTTTGAGTCCAGCCGGGCACCTTTAAGACCAACAAAGTTTTATTCAAGATGTAAGCTTTCTTGTGCAAGCACACTTCTTCAGATATCGTGGCACAGAATGTCCTCAACCGTGACATATAGAGGGGTTAGTTGCCGGAAAGGGCCAAGAGACAGAAAACTGGAAATTACCAGTCCATCCATATCGGTAGAGGGTGAGCAGTAAATCATCATACAGCATAATGCGGATCTGTAACAGATTCAAGTCTGGCGTGATGTGGTCCACGGGGTCGCGAAGAGTCAGACTCGACTGTGCGACTGAACAACAGTATAAATAGAGTCAAGGATCAAACAGGAGAAATAAGCTAAGTTTATATGGTAACCATTTGTTTGGGTTCAGTTGTGGGGGGGAGAAACAGTGTAGGAAATAAAGTCAGAATTGGAGATTGATGTATCTCTAATTGTGGAATGCTGGGAGCAGGGCTCTTTTTTGTAGAAAAAGTCCAGCAGGAACTCATTAGCATAATAGGCCACACCCAACAGCAGAAACCCATTAGCATATTGGGCCACAGCCCTGACAGCACAGCCTATTAGCCTATCAAGCCGCACCCCCATGTTACCAGAAGTGTGGTCATCCAGCCACTCCACCTTTTGCTTGTGATTCTGTTTACCTTGTTTGTTGTCAAAACCCAGGGGTTTTTTTGGAGCAGGAATTCCTTTGCATGTTAGGCCACACACCCCTAATGTAGCCAATCCTAATTAGTTCCTGCTGTTGGGTGTGGCCTGTTATGCTAATGAGTTCCTGCTGGGCGTGGCCAACTTGGGAGCCAGCCGGAACTCCGTTCCTTCGCGTTCCTGCCCAAAAATGGCCCTGGCTGGGAGTAATTAATTGTGACCCCACCATCCGTCCCCTCTCAAGTGTGGAGTGACCTTGCAGCATCTTCTTCTTTGAAGTGGGACAATTGGCCATGCAGATTTATCTCCCCTGTCTCCAGACTAGAGAAATACATTCAGATTTCTACCATGTAATGTAATAAAACCTACTATTCTAATCTGTTGTTTCAAATAAGAGACAAAATAAAATAAAACGGCTCTTCTGGGAGGGGGGGTGTTAGTGAGAATACAGATGTAAGGGCTGAATGGAGTTCGCCTATGTAGTGTAATTAGAAATGTGAAGGCCCGGGAAAAAACCGGAAAAATTCGGGGGGAAAACGTTTTTTTCCCTGAAGCCTTTTTTGTTTTTT